AATAGCCCCTAAGCCCTGTTTATTGAAATTAATGAGCATAATGGTAAATGTTGCTCAGCAACTTGTGGTATTGCTGTGTGGGTGTGCCACAGTGGGAGCAAGGATTTGTTGCGACACACTAATAGCTTGGTTACGACCTTAATAGACACAAATGAGAATATTCAAGGCTAATGTAAATTCAAATTACCCAATTCATTTTGCCAAACAAAATATATATCAATCACTTTAGTGGCCAAATTAATAATTACCATCAGCAATCACATTGAACATTCGCCTTAACATTTGCGACAGAATTCACATTTCTAATAGATTATTTCAGTTGATATTATAAAGCAGAATTGTAGGTGGATAAATCGGGTACGACCTTCATTCAAAATATGTTTTCAACAATAACTTGAGTATTTACTATTCAATCTTCATAAGATTTGTACTATAAAGTAAGCCAAATTTGTACTATAAATATAAAATTGTGTCTTTTATTGCTATCAAAAATCGATTTATATCAATAATTGAGAAACAGGCTAACGCTTATTGACTCTGAGATTCCTTTGCTGATACACACGGACAGCCAGACGACTATTAGTAGAGCGACTCGGCTGTTGATACTGATCAAGAATATATATATAGTTGATGTGGCCTGAGATGCTTCATTCTGCCTGTTACATACTTTTGCACGAAACCTTCTTTTTAACGAGAATAGGGTATAAAAACGTTCAAACTAATTAAATGTCAACATAAGCATAAATTATGCATTTCCATTTTCAGCGGCAACTGCTCAACTGATCTTTATAAATAATTCCTTCTTACGAAATTTGCATAAATATTGCAAATAATAGCTTTTGGCTCTCGATTGAGATTGAGATTTATTTTCACGGAAACTCGGGCAATTCTCAATATTTTGTCAAATGGGGGAAATTCGTGTCTGGAGGCTTGACGCGCAGTGCCAACAAAGAGGAAAGACATGTGTTGAACAAAGCGAAAAATGTTGCACGCCAAAAGGATTATGACACGTGCACGTAGCACACATGCGGCTGACGGCGTTGCACGTAGCTGGCGGGCGTTTGTTATATATATATACATACATATATATATATATATATGTGTGTGTGTGTGTGTATGTGTTAGTATTAATTCCTAGCTGCTTGTTGATTCCTCAGCACACATTTGTTGCCTGGTTGCTGTCTTGAACGTGTTTCTGGCAGTGTTTTTATTTTTGTCTGTTTGTAAGTGCGATAGTTGCCTGCTCGTATGTGTGTGTGTGTGTGTGCGTGTGTCCTGTTTTCATTATTAATACGTTGTATGCTTTTGCTTACGACACTTTGCAACTTTTTGTTTTGTCATCTTAGTCAAGTTGTTTCGCTGCCTTTGTTTCCTTTTCGTGACACAAATTATTCTTGTTGACACATAAAAATTGTTAACCCTTTTTTTTCTCGTCGTTGTTGTTCTTGTTCTGGCATCATGAAAAATGACAATAGATGATAAAAGCGCTTAGTTTTTGAACGTATGTGTGTGTGTGTGTGTGTTTGTGTCTGTGTGGGTGGTAGACATTGATGTATTTTGGGTCAAACTGTGCAAATAAATAATAAGCAAATATTTGTCGTTCACAGCTGTCTGCGAGCCTAGTTGACTTTATTTTGTTTCTCCCACACCCAATTTGACATTGTGAATTATGTATTTTAATTGCATTTTAATTGCTGTTCTGTGTTGTCCAATAAATTGGTGTTCATTATTTAGTCGCAGCACGTTTTTCGGACGATTTTTGGGTAAAAGTTTAACGCGTTTTCCTTCTTTTTTTGTTTTTTTGGCGCGCCGCCTCATTTGGCTAATAGAGTTTTCATTAGGGCGCTAATGAAGCATAGTTTTGAGTTTGGCAGCGGGCAGTAATTAGGCCAGCGGCGCCCCCTGTGCAGCTGCCCCCGTTACAGCCCTACCCCCACCGGCTCACTCCCCTAGCGGTCATTACAACTAATGGAAGCTGGAGGGTCAAAAAATGCGCCCGGAGCCCGGATATATCATTTGACCAACAAGCCAAACTGACTAAATAACCAAAAAGCCATGTACATATATAAAAAAGAAAAAAACAAACAATACCAAAAATGGAATAAAAAATAAAACACACGATTTCGGCTCGCATGTTGGCAAAACCTGCGGTCACAAAAGAGCTGTAAATTAAAATTTACTCGACATGAAATTGAAGCTCTCCACTGGGCTCTGCCACAGCTCAGCTCTGTTTGCAGTCAGTTTTCATTTTTTTTTTATTTTTTTAGTCCATTCTTTTTGTTTTTGGTTACTTTTTGCTGCACTTGCTTTGCCATGTCCGAGGGGAGAGTGGGTGGGTGTGCGAAAGCGATCCTTTCAATGTTGCACTCAGAGGCGCTGCGCCGCGTATTGAGTTGCATATCGAGTAATAAAATATCAAATAAAATCATCCAATAAAAACATTAATATAAGATGAAATACAAGCACTTTTTATTACTTTATATCTTATTGTAGTTCGTAAAAAGAATTTATTTTAACTCACTTTATACATATTTCTTAAATATATCCATTTATTACTATTATTACTTTCTATCAACAAATTTCTATTATTTACACACATTTTTCATGAATCCATCAATCAAATGTTTACATTCAACATACATTTCTGACAAATAAATTTCAAAATTGGATCCCTTTGATTTTTAGTTTTATTTATTTATTCGTTGAACTATTTGCATTGGCAGCAACAAAAATAATAATCCATTTGATGAAACCAAATGAAAGCCCCAAAGATATGTGGAAAATACGTTAAAAACTCCACTGTATAGTCGTATAGCTCATCTGGAATTCGTAGCAGTCTGGCAACGCCGTGGCCATGACGATGGCTTTTATATGCAATTCGACTGGCGTTTGCTTTTTACTTTATTTTTGGTGGATTTTTTCTTTCGTTTTTACTTGCAGATTCTTTTTTACATTTTTGGTTGATTGTGTTGCGGCTGCTGCCCGGCGGGCTCGTATTTTACGTGGTTAAAGTTTTGCACTACGCCAGACTGACAGGCCAGGACTCGCAACGGAGGCAGGAGGAAAAAGGCAAAGCAGATTTTGCCACGCGCACAGATTAAGCGCAAAAATTAAAGGCAACCAACAAAAAAATAAAAATGAAATCAGGGCAGAAATGAAAAAAAAATGTTGCTAACCAATGCGACTGCATTTTGTTTCAATCAATTAGCGCATTTTGCTTTCACTGCTGTTTAGCCACAAAATCGCCGTTAAATGGCAATTTGCGCAGCGATTATTCAAAGTCAAATCGCAGTGAGGCAAACAAGCAAGCAACGAGAAAAAATAGAGAAATAAATATAAAAGAACTATTTCTAACGAGCGCAATTAAAAACATTCAACTGCCCCGCGCATTTCTGTTGCATCTGTTTATTTAGTGTGACTAACACTCGAATTTGTTATTTATTTTCACTACAAATATTTATGTACATCGACTCGAGCTGCAGTTGATTTGTCAAAGTGACGGGCAGCCGTCGAACTGTGCCACGCCCCCCTCCCGACGTTGCAGATCCCACAGGGGCTTAGATGGATTTACCGCGCACCGCCAAATATTTTGTGTAAACCTGATTTTATTTTTGCCAGCAACAACAGTTAAGCCGCATTAAGTGGAGAATACACAAAATATATTATAATATCAGCGGAAAATGTTTTATTTATTATGTATACATTATTCTTATTATTATTTCTATAGCCGACATATTTATGATATCTCTTTTTATTAACAAAAAATACATATATAATGAATTATGAATATAGCTATTTAATTGTATGAAAGAATTATTCCACTTATATCATTGAATATCGAATGCACTCATTAAATTCGGCATTAAAAATGGCAACAAAAAAACGCCGAGGATAAATATCCTTGGAGACCGGAGTTAATTGGCTGACTCTGACCAACTGACCTGAATTATAGACCAGAGTTCGAAATATTATTATACGTTTTGTACGATATCAACGTATTTTATTAATATTTCACATTTATGCATTTATTATTATCCTATTTCGAGCCCACAACTTAAATCAATCGACGGACATTTACCAGGTTTAAAAAAGATGGCTTTAAGGGTGACGGAGTCATGGATCTTAGAAAGATTAAGTGAAAAATAAGATAAGACCAATCGACTTGGCTAGTGTCAAGAACATATATACTTGATGGAGTCGGAGTTAGTCATGAAATCATAAATTCATAAGATGTTATTAATTAATATGATTTCCTATAATTTGATATATATATGGGTATATATCATTGGGTATATAACTGCTACTGTTAGCGTAAGCACGGCTTCAAGTTGCAATTGAAGTGTGTTGTAAACAAATTTCGCAGTTGGCTTTAACAGCAGCGGAAGCTGAGTGATTGTCGACATTGCCGACATGTTTTGAGTAATTGAATTGATGTCTTGCTTTGTTTCGGATGGCAACAGATACAACTGCACGGGTTAATGGCCTACTGATTTCCCCAGTCAATCATCCAGCATACATACATATATATATATATATATATATATATATATATATATATATATATATATATATATATATTCGTATAAGTTTCGTTTAAGTATTTTAATAAACAACAAACAAGTTTTGTACACATGAATTCATCTTTCGACAAAATTATTTCTCGATCTCGATGATATTTAATGCAAATATATAAAGCATAATAATACTCATATTATCTAAGTTCGGTTCGGATATCCTAGATCTGGTACGATCTGAGTAATCCGACCAATTGACAGCCAGCTTTTAAGCTGAAGGATTAGTGCGCATAGAAACGAACTGAACAAGGACTATTGAAGGATACATCGAGTCGGCAAGTGATGATGATGAATATATACAATTTAGAATCAATGCATTTTGAACATAGTTTGATTTTCTTTGGACAATATTAAAGGACATTGTTGAGCATCTGCTTGCTTCTAAATTGCAGTAGATTAAACTAAACAATAATAAATAAATACATATCAGTTTTTGACAACGTTCAGCAATCGAACGTCGATTTTATTTTGATTCAATGCAACTTGCAAAGTAGAACATTCATATAAAAAAATGCGATGAACGCGAAGCTGTTCATCTGGCTTCTTATTACTTAATAATATGTCAAGATAGATAGTTGACTTCATTCAATGTATATAACGATTAATATATATGGGCTTATATATGATTTGACACGATCTGGCGTTGAGTTTCAATATCTTTGAGATGCATTCATTAGACAAAATGTGTAAAATTAGAGATATGCACATGCAACAGTTTTATATGTAATCAATACATAAATTTAAAATTGCTGCACGTTGTTCGGAGGAGCAAAGTGGCTGCAGCACGGCTGCTCTTCCTGCGGCGACAGCGTCTCCTCCAGCGGCGACAGAGGCTCCTCATTGATGGCCAGCGATGCCAGCACAACGTACTGTTGCTGCTGGACAAATGGAGATGGCGATGGGAATGAGGTGGGTGTGGCCATGGGCGTGGAAGAAGAAGTCTCCTCGTAGTTGCCGCAATATTGTTCCCCAATTAGACCCAAATAATCACTCTCATCCGTATCGCTGTCGTACAAATACTCCAAGCCGCCCAGCTCGACAAGGACGCGGCGCAGAAAGCGTAGCTCGTCGTGGGCACGGGTCACCTTCCGTTCCAGCGCCTTCATCTCGTCCTGGGGTATCAGGGGGCAGCCGAGCACATGCATAATGACCATCAGTGGATCTGCGGGCAGCGGCACGAGCTCCACCAATTCCTTAAGTATATCGACCAGGCGTGGTATTATGCCATGCTCATTCAGATACTTTGTATACTCCTCCTCTTGATCCGACATTATTTCTTTCCAAGTTTCGAAGGCAATTTGTGAAACGCGTGCTGAATTTCGAGAAACCTAGAATCACATGATTCTGAAAATAACTGTAAATACACTCATTTGAGGTGGCGCTCCTAGTGTTTCGTTGTGGTACTACAACAATTGGTAGCCACATTCGCTAACAGAACAGTGTTGGAAGTGCAAAGCAGAGCTAGCTTGCTCACAACTTCTGGTTCGATAAAAATATGAATCTATGATTGATTTATTTATACAATTTATAATATTATATTAATTTTTTTAAATTATTATTTGTTATACCTAAATACTGCGACCATTCACCATATGAACATGATGAACTCGTTGTCAATACCGAACTTAAGTACAACAATATATATCGATAAAGGAACTCATGTGAACTAGTTGTCAATATTAAAAATGCAACAATATATATCGATAAATTAATGGTCTGCGTTCAGAATTGTAAAAACTTGTGAAATCTTGTAACGTGAATCCAAACAACGCGTCTGTGGCAAAAAACAAAATTACAGTTAATAGAGAGAAAGAAACAACCGATAAGCGATGTCCTTCTCGTTCGGCACACCCACAACAAACCCCGGCCTAGGCGCAGGCGGCGCTGTCCCCGCAACAGGCGGCTTCAGTTTTGGCGCGCGACCCGCAACAAGCGCCCCGCCTCCTGCCTTTGGTGCTGCAACGGCCACCTCGAGTCTGGCCGGAGCAGCGAGTGCTGCCATAGGCGTAGCGGCACCCAACTTTAGTTTTGGGTCCACCGCTGTCAGTGCGGCGCCAACGCTTGGCTTTGGCTCTCAGGCTGCAGCGGCTCCAACCGCAACGGGCATGATGCTACCCGCCTTCGGAGCGGCGACAGCGGCGCCTGCATTTGGTGCACCGGCAGCAGCACCCGCCTTTGGCGCAACTGCAGTAGCACCCAGTTTTGGTGCACCCACAGCGACGTCTGCATTTGGTGCACCCGCAGCAGCACCTGCCTTTGGCGCACCCGGATCGGCACCCGCCTTTGGTGCAACAACAGCGACGCCCGCCTTTGGCGTTGCAGCTACAGCGCCTGCATTCGGTGCACCGACAGCAGCCGCACCCGCATTTGGTGCGCCGGGATCTGCCCCAGCCTTTGGTACAGCGACTGCCACAGTGGCGCCCTCGTTCAGTTTCTCGACGCCGACGACGAGCGCACCGACAACAGCGCCGCCCGCCTTCGGCTGCACGGCAATGCCTGCAACATTGGGCGCAGGCGTTGGCGCTTTCTCCTTCATCAAGCAGCAGGCTCCGACGGCCGCCAGTCTGAACTTCAACACGACCACAACGACGGCCACCGCGCTGCCTTTCAATGCGAACCTGCGCCTGGGCGGAAACATGTACTCCGGCCCTGGCCCCAATCCCAGTGCCGGCATCTTTGGCAAGCCATTGACAATTGGCGCACCGGCAGCATCAGCACCACCGGTCTTTGTTGGCCTCGGCGGCATCGATGTGGGCGCCACGCAACCCAAGCTGGGCGACAACAAGCAGGATGGCATCAAGGTGAGTACAAACAATCCCGAAACAAAACGGCTTAAGATTAATCGATTGTTCTTTCAGATAAAGGAGACCCAGGTGCCGGAGGAGATAATCAAGACAGTTGATGCACTCAAGGCGTACATCAAGCAGCAGAAGACCATCTCCTCGGATATTGGACGCACCTCGACATCCAAGCTGAGCAATGTGAGCCATGAGATCACAAATCTACGCTGGGTACTGCAGAGCATGGCCAATTCGGTGGATGCCAACAATCGGCTCATTAAACAGCTGCGCAGCGAAACGGCCAAAGCCATTCAATCCCTGGAGATGGTGCAGCGGACACAGGACACGCCGGCCGGACTGCAATTTGAGAATACGGCACCGTTCCAGTACTTTCAGTGCCTGGTGGCTAGATACGAAGAGGATCTGATTGGGTTCCGGCAGCAAATCAAGCTCACCGAAAGCCACATGCATGCATTGGCCAATCCACAGAGCATATCGCCGAGTGACCTCAAGCGTGGCTTCCATCAGATCAACGAATCCTTCGTGTCGCTCGCCGGACGCCTGCATGAGCTGCATCAGCGTGTCGAGGAGCAAAAGGAGCAATATTTAAATCTACGTCGCTATCGTCTGCGCGATGCCACCAATGTCTTTGCCAAGCTCGACAATCCGCCCGTGCAGCTGGTGGAGCCACAGCGTATCAGCAGCGGACCGACGCCCTTCTCCAGCATTTCGGCGATAAGCACGCTGAACAAGAGCTACGCAGCCGCCTCGGCGGCCACAGCCAACACTGCTGCTGCATCCAAATGATACGCCGCCAATTGGTCATCCAGCGAGCATTATTGGATTTAGTTTTTAGTTGTTATCTTGGAATCGAACGTTCAATAAACTTATTATCAAAGACACTAAGAACTCTGTGGATGGCTACAAATATACCTTCTCCGACCACATCCAAATATACAAGCAAAAGGACGAATATTTGTTAACCATTTGTCGAACAACTTGTACTAATTTAGAGCCTTTTATAGAACAGTTTTATTTCTGAGCTAGCAAGGATCTTGGGCTCGATCGGAAATTCTCAGTGTTTCCCTTAAACTTGAATGCCTATTAATATTAATACTTGCAGGTATTTGACAGAGTTCTAAAAAAGCAATTGTCTAAGCTATTTGCTGGGCTCTAAAAGTTTGATTTAAGCCTTTTGATTTTCTGAGACTAGCTGGAACCAAACATTTAATAGTTTACTGATTAGTGCCCTTTTATTGTTCACCCAAATTGGACAAGTTTCTGTGGAACTATCTAAAACTGGGCGTAAAACATAAAACTCAACCAGAAGAAACAGTTGCCTGCTTCTATAAATGATATAATTCTTTCCTTACAATCAACACTAACAGTTTCGCACACATCCAAAGGACAAAATCCTTTCCAGATGATACATCAGAATCAATCAGTTTATATATGTAGAATAGAATATATATTTTTCAACGCAATTGATGCCAACAACAGACAACAACAAGCAGATGAACAAATGCAGTTGCGTTGCTAGCGATTCACTTCTTGACCACCTGAATAACATCCTCGTCAGCCATGACATGGGCAATGCCCACGCGCTGTGGCGAGTATTTCGTTGATGTGCCCCACACCAGTCCGTACTTGAACTGTGCGGCCAGCGTTCGATGAATCGCATGGCACACGTGCTCCACACTGACACCCTGTGGAACAAGGACACAATTACACATTCAGTGAACAAAATGCATTCATCTCTTTTTTTACTTGCCTTTCTCAGAATCAAACCATCATCGAAATCTGGCGGTGCACCGGGCTTCTTGGTGTACACCCGAATTAGCTGGAGTGCCTCCCAGAGCGCCTCCAGCATATAGTCCAGATTGAGCTTCATGTTGCAGCTGACCACGATGGAGTTGGGCTCTCGCGCCAGTCGATCCACCTCCTCAATCGAGATCTGATCAATCTTATTATACACATACAAACAGGGCAGATAGACGCGATTGGCTGTCACCACATCGATGAACTCATCCTCTGTGCAGTCCTCGCGGAACAGAACCTCCGCATTGAAGATCTTGAACGAGTGTAGAATCATTTGGACCATTTTCTCGCTGCACCGCGTCAGGGCGCAGGTGGAATTAAAGCTGAGACCGCCGCCCTTTTTCTGTTTGAAGTAAATGTTTGGCTTGCGCTTGTTCAGACGTATGCCGACCGATTCCAGCTCCCGCTCCAGCAGTTCGCGATGCACATTCGGCTTGGTGGCGTCCAGCATCATCAGCACCAAATCCGCAGTGCGCGCCACGGCAATCACCTGGCGACCACGTCCCTTGCCCTGCGCAGCTCCCTCAATGATACCCGGCAAATCAAGCAGTTGTATATTGGCACCCTGGTATTCAATCACGCCGGGTATACAGGTCAGCGTGGTGAACTCATAGTTCGCTGCGAAATGGATATTAATTACACAAATAAAGTAATATGCAACAAAACTTTGTATCCAGTTCAGTTTTAAGGATATCAATATTAGATTTACATGACCTGGTCACAAAATATTATCATTATTTGGAATGGCAGTCAGAGCAGTCACCACTAGCAACTCACCAGCCTCCGATTCGGTTTTGGTCAGTGTGGACAACATTGTGGACTTGCCCACACTGGGAAATCCAATAAGAGCGACACGCGCATCGCCGCTCTTCAGCACATCGAATCCTTCGCCCTTTTCGCCCTTCTTCGTCGGTTCGAGCAGCTGGGACCGGTACTTGGCTAGCTTGGCCTTAAGCAGGCCCAAATGGTACTCAGTGGCTGAAATTGCATTGAAATGGCAAATGTAAAATGAATTCTAACCCTAAATTCCGATACATTGGCAACGCCATTGCCAGCAATGCGAATTCGGACGCCGCGTTGTCTACGCCGGTTTTCACTGCTCACCTTTGTTCTTTTGGGTGCGCGCAATTTCGCGCTCGATCTCCGCAATCTTCTCTAGAATGCCCATGCTGATGTTGTCGTGTGTCTTGGGCGTAGCATTAAGTTAATAACAATATTTAGGCAACTGCGGCTTACTTGTTGTTTCAAAGTGCCCAGCTAGGGATGAACAAATATTTCGACTATGCTCTCCGATAGTTTGAGAATGAATAAAGTGCCAGCAAGGGCAGCTGAACTCACTAAATGGAGTGATGTACACAAAAAAATTTAATATTAAATCCACTTAAATTAGATGACTTAATGTTAGTTGATCGCAAATTGTTCTTATTAGAATCCCACGATTCTATCGACATATCGATACTTTCATACGATATTTGCCACTTGATTTGGCTCGCATTCTTCGGCGTTGCCACCTGTCATTTCTTATTTAAATCTGGCGGCTGAAGTGGGAAAGTTTACAAAATGAGTTTTCATGTTTCAGCACTCAATAAGTTTAATTAGTTAAGTTTAATGTTAAAAAGAATCATAAAATATACACAAATACACATGTAAACACTATTACAATTACAAGAAACAGCCACACACATAAATGACAATCGATTAATTACAATAGTTGGAGTAGAGAAAGATTTATAGGATAGACTTAGATATTTAATTGGCATAAAAGCCGTTGCCCTCGTTGCCCATAAACTCAGTCCAGCGCTGTGCCTCAATCGGATCTAGTTCGGAGCACACCTCGCCCGGTTGCAATGAGCGGCAGGTGCATGTTATCCCAATTCTCGTAATTATCAACTGAGATTCGTATTTGGGCAACGCGGGATCTGCGTCCACGAGCCGCTCGCTCAGGCACTGCTTGAGGAATTGCTTGCGCAACACGCGCAAGTTGTCGGCGGTGTAACCTGCAAGAGCGATAAATATTAATTAATATTAACTTGCCGATTTTAAGCTGACCCACTACCCACTTTTATAGGCGCTAATCTTCTCGTCGACGCAGTTGAGATCCTGCGGCGAGAACAACGGTGGATACGCCTCCGATTCGCGTATGTTGAGCACAAAGGCAAAGTCCACAGATGAGCTTGCATTGTTGAGCGCCTTCAGCAGCACACCCGTTGACGAAATGGATGCCAAATACCAATCCTCGGGCTGGGCATCCTCTGTCGCCGCTGGCGTCGCATCCTCGCCAGCATTATTACGATTTGTTGTGGAAACACTGCCGCTACTACTGCTGGCACTGCTGGAGTTGGCTGCCTCACGCTTGCGCCTGCGATACTGCGACTGTCTATTGGAACTGGTGACTGCTGCCGCAGCTGCTGCAGCAGCTGCATCCGCTGCCTGTTCGACCGCCTCATTGTCCAGCTCTAAGTCCCACAGACTGAGCGGCGATTGTGCGGAAAGCGGCTGACTTGTGCTGGTGGGGCTGGGTATGCTAGTCGTGCTCGACTCCAGTGTGCCGCTGCGCACATCTCGATTACTGCCACTGGGATATTTGGTGCGCATGCGAATGGGACGATCGTTCTGCTCAGGCAACTGCTGCGGCAGCTCATCATTGTACACCAGTTCGTATTCCTCCGGCTGACGCATCGTATTCGGATTCTCCGCAGGCAGAGCCAGCGGATCATAGTCCTTCTATTTGGATATGAGTTGGTTTATAATAAGAACGATCATGTTTATTCGAAATGAAACTCACAAATTCCTTGTAGGGCTCCTTGATGTAGCCGCCGCCAAAGCTGGGCAACTCGTTGTCCGTCTCCGGGTCGGGCAGCAGCTCCGCAGGCAATGGATGCTTACGATGCTTGTTGTGCTTGGCTGGACCGGTCAATTGCTCCTCAACTGCATCCACTACTGCCGCCTGTCTGAGCAGCTGCTCTCGGCTCGCCAGCAGTTTCTTGAGCAACTTTGGATGCTTCAGCGGCGACTGTTTGCCAGTTGCAGCTGGTCTCTGTGTGCGATTCAGGTGCACGTCGATGTCATCTGTACTGAAGAGCACCGCACCCGGCGGCTCAAGGTGCCGCGCAATCGCATAGAGCTTGAGAACCGTGGACTCATTGTAGCGTAGACGGCAGGTGTCGGCACGTGCCTGCAGAATGATGTCGCTGTCCGGCACAAACTCGTAGGCATCCCGGGCATTTTGCTTGTTGCGGCACTGCAGCTGCCAGTGCAGGAAGAAGTCGCCACCGAAGCTCTGCGAAACGGAAACGCCACCAAGGAGACTGCTCGCTCCGCCAGCATCCGTCATCATGGCATTGAGCAGCGGCTGCCCAGTGCGTCCGTCGAGGATCGTTGTTTGCGAATAGTAGTAGACGGGAAAGCCGGGACCAGTGTTGTACTTGACCATAAAATCGGTGACATTGTCGCGATTGAAGTGACCCGGCACAATGGCGCTGACGCACTCGCTGGCCGGAAACGAATAGTTCCACAGCATGCTATAGTTGTGGCCATCAAATGCATACACGCTGCTGTTGAATGCTGCCACGACGACATCAGAGATGCCATCGCCATTGAGATCGCTGAGCACCGCCGGCACCATCAGACCCGATCCCACCTGCTGATGCAGCGGCGTGAAATGCTTCTCGCTGGTGTGCGCCATCAGCGACAATAAACGCAGACTGTAAATGCCACCGGGCGTATTCTGGCCACCAGTCAGCATCAGCAGCAGCTCGGTGCCGTCAGCGCGTGTCAGCAGCTGTATGGGCACAAACATCTCCTCGCGATGTGGCGTTGGAATGCTGCGCAGCACCTTGCCCGTCTTGCCCGAGATCAGTTTAATGTGGCCCGCCTTGGATTCCTCGCGCTCTTCGAGATGTGCGGCTATCAGATCGGGCACCTCATCGCCATCCAAGTCGCGCAGCACATTGATCGTATAGAGATCCATCACAATGGGCGAGTTCGTCTCCACCTCGAGCTCGTGAAAGGTCCAGATGACCTGACCAGTGCGTCCATTGATGGCAAAGATCATCTGCAGAGAGTGAGTAGAAATTTATAATCAAAAAGAGAATTAACTAAATAAAGCATATAGTTTTATGATCCTAGCTGTTTGATATTCTATATCATATCCCATTTTCGTACTTTTGGGACAAAACAACAAATTTAACTCCTTTAAAAAATATAAAATAGAAGTCCGATGTCTCTAAAATATATCTTTTGTGTTCAGACTGAACCGTGATTCTTATAAGCTATTTTTAGTATTTATATATCTATATCTATATCTATATCTATATCTATATCTATATCTATATCTATATCTATATCTATATCTATATCTATATCTATATCTATATCATGTATATCATCTTTATCTAATCCTCTTGACTTACGCCCAATCTTCCCGCCGCCAAACAGTCGATGCCGCCATCGCGATCGATGTCCGCGTTGCAGTGGAGCGAGAATACATTGGCCACGCTCCACGTCTGCCACAGAATGGAACCGTCGCGACCATTGAGAGCGACGACGCCACCCTCGCAGGGCACATCGTCGCCGCCTTGGGCCGACTTGCAGCGCGGCAGTGGAATGCCCTCGTAGTGTATGTTGTCGTCGACGCCATAGCCAAAGATCACATCCTTGATGGCATCCCCATTCAGATCGGCGGCACGCAACGGACTCTCGCTGTTCATGCGCGCCATGCTGCGTGTCCACAGATGCTGCACGCGGATCTGCGTGCACGGCACAAATTCACTGCCCAGGCTGCTGCCATAGCTGGCGCTCGCAACGGATATCGCTGCCAGCTGTGCATCCTCGCTCCACCAGTGATGGATGCGTTGCATCGGCAGCGGAAACAGCGTCAGCATCAGTGCCGCCAAACTGAGCACGGCACAGAGCACAGTGAGCGCGGCCAAAATGTAGCAGAAGGGCTCACAGCAGCGGCAGCAGCGACGACGCTTGTGCTGCTTCATGATCGGTGTGGAGCTGCTCCCCGAGCCGGAACTGTGTTTCCGACGCGGCGCCATCAGCGGACGCTTCAGGCCCTGCTCTTCGCTGCGCTGTAGTTGAATATAAATTTGAAAGATATACATTAAATAGAAATCCTTTCAGAACTGTAATCAAATCTTAGCGAATACATTTTGAATCAGAAATTTAATTAAATACAGGCAACTTCTCTGTGATTTATAGGAGTAAAAAGATTCGTCTTTAATAGCGTCAAATGTAACACTTAAGAAATGCTCGAAATTGGTGATAAAAGTTAAAAATTTGTTTATAAAATCAAAATATGATTTTTTGCTGTCTTTGGGTACCGTAACGTTGTTCGAAATATATTGGAATAAAAACATATTTAAATTATAAAATGAGATCAACATATAAAAAGAAGAAAATAATTATTTATCAAATCTTTTGCGACTTATTTGTGTTCGAAAAACCAGCGAGCGAAAAGCAGCGACTATTTCAACCCCAACTTGTCGAGCACTCAACTAATTCAATTTTGTATGAATTTTGTAGTTTTTCTCAATTATTTGGATACTAACTGTTCAAATAGTTATTTAGATGAAGGCTGTGACTCACCTTGGCGGAACGGGCGTCCTTGATGAACACCTCGTCGTCGACATCATCACTGATGTCCTCATCAATTGATGACTCCCGTATGGCGATGCGCTTGGAGGGCACATATGGTCGCAGTTTGATCATTTTGGGCCAAGCTGCCACGTTTGCGGCGCCCAGCGCCTTGTCCTACAGATATTATTTTATATATTTCGTTAATGTCTTTTTCTTTTTCCCGATTTTTTTTTGTTTTTCGTCCGTTCACAGTACAATTTTTAATGCATTTTCTTTTGTGCGTGTGTGGGTGTGGGTGCGTGTGCGTGTTTTGCGAAATGAAATGCACTTTAGCGATGCGTGTCTTCTGGTCGTGTAAAAATCAATAACGACGTCACGACACAACGCAACGCTCAGCTGGCAGCTGGCAGATGGATCGACGCATGCGCCCTTGAGTGGAAAACCACCCCCCTGGAATCAACAGCAGTTAACCGCACACGTGTTGGAACAATGGCGGCTACAGGTTTGTTTATCAACAATTGCGTCAATGACGCACTCGCTTCTGTCTGTCTCCACCTGGGCAACTGTTGCGTCGCCTGCTACCCTTAACGGTGGGCCATTAGCGACAACCCCTCTCAATCCCCATGCTCAACCCTTGAACAAGTTGTGGTGGAGCAGAACTCCCTTATTAAGCATTTCGAAGGCAGTTCAATGGCCTTGCTTTCATGAATGAAAGCAAGCGTCGTCTACTTGCAACGTTTGGTGGCCCTTGGGGGTTGGGAGTTTCATTCCATTCAACAAAACTCTTCCGCATATGAGGGCTATGTGGGTCACAACAACTAAGCAAGTTGGCAGGGAAATGCATGTTTTTATTTTGCGGTATGTCTTATTCATTTTTGAATAGATCCCTTGCAGATTTCACGATTTGCCATTCAATAGCAAAATGTCTGAGAACTTACCTGAAATAGCTCCGCATAGTCCATGACTTAAAGAGCTCCTCTTTTCTCTTAACCTTCGCTTACGAGCAAGACACAACTTTTGTATAACACGAAAGTTGTTCCTTGGGCTCAGATCTTAATTTATTTTTACAAATTTTCAATGACGTATTGCTTGTCAAAAAGCCTAATAAGAGCAACAACAACAACAACAACAGCAGTAGCAGGAGCTGTACAAATTACGACTATTCAAGTTAAAAGCGCGCCAAAAATCTTTACGGTTGCCCCGCAATCCCCGACTTGGTGCGGCTCCGCCTGCTGCCATCAGCAGAAACTTAAGAGCACCACTTAGGCATTGCTCTGGTGGTGCGGGTGGTGTTCTGTTGAAAAGCGTGCATTGCATCTCGACAGGCAGCCAAGTACTTAGGTCAGGTCCAAAAGCAGCGTCAAGCTCGAATGCATTCGAATAAACTATAGAAAAATCAGCGGCTTTTTATAGCACAACTGTCGAGGAGGGATCTGGGATGGAGGGATGTGGGGCGAATCTGAGGTTCATCTACGGCAAGTAACTTAAGTGTGTTATTATCGCATCAGAGATAATTTAATAACGACGCTGATGGCGTAGCTGTTGTTGCTGTTGCTGTTGCTGTTGCGGCAAAGGAAGGCCAAAAGGATGTGTTGCTCAAGTGTCTGCGGCAAGGCGTTGAGTGCTTGGCCTGTGGGCGTGGCATAGGGCGTGTAGCATAAGAAATCGAATATATAAGTAAGTATACGTACTATGCACACACACACACACACACACAGCACACATACATGCATTCTGAGATGTGTGTATGGGGACACAAGCTGCGTCAAGGTTACGTCTCGTCTTCTTTTCAATTATGGCTTGTAATAAACACCTGACTAGATTATGATATTCGCCACAACTCATATTTATGCTAATAATATAATATGGTAACTGATATTAATTGAGATTTTTATAAATATTGGTTTTTACATCATTCATATCTTCCAGATTGTTGTAAGAATGGGCTACGAGTCATATAATATAATCAAATAATTGCAAGTTTTTCGAATTTGTAACATATTTTATTTTAATTTCATAAATAAATAAAACAATTATTAATCTATCGAATAGAACAATGATTATTATTTTCATTTAATTATTTATTTTATTCCAGACATAAATTAAATAATGATTAATTCATCGAAAATGGCAATTAAAGTGTTTACTTGGCTTAAATTGAATAGTATTTTCATTTAGACTTTGTTCGGCTTGACGTCAGTGAGTTCATTGGATTATCGGGAGATTGCATTCCATTAGCAGCCATTTGGCAACTGCGCTTAACCTTCTCTCCTCTGCAACAAAATGAAAAAACAAAAATAATCTGTCATTGTTGTTGCTGTTGCGACAAAAAAAAAAACAAAAAAGAGACACTTGGGAGCCACTTGAGAAGTTGTTGGCTTGTTTCGTGTGCGACTAACAAGCCAATTGATTGGGAAACTAAAGAAACACTTTCACATAATGCTTGGGGACAGTTTTTCACGCTTACACTTTTCTATTTACCCGCACCGAAATTCGATCACTTGGGGGTCCAAGGCAATCAATATGCGGCAGTGCAGCTAAACGCACACAAATCTGGCTAAATGTGGCCAGGGGGTTGTGATGCGAGAGGGAGAGAGGAGGAGTGAGTAGTACCAGGGCTCATCAGTACAATGACGATGACGACAGAGGCCCGAGCAGATTATGTGGAAAGGCAATGCCAAAGTACTTGACGAAATTATGTTAAGTGACTATGGCAAAGAGAAGCACACAGACGACGGCAGCACTAAACAATAACATACTATATACATATATAGTGGATGTATATATATATAAATATATATATATATATATACTTATATACTCAAATATGTACTTGCCTTAGAACAGTCTGCATTAAAGACTTTTCCCTAGTTTCTCAGGGCTTTCACTTTTCGAGCACTCAAAGGTTTTTAGCGACTCAACCACATTGTCTCAATAGCACACACACACACACAGGCACACACACAGGCACAACTATAGATGGCATCAGTCAGTGCATCTTGTATCCTGCATCCTGCGCCTTCGTTGGTGAACATTTTACTGCACTCGCCTGGCAACGTTTTAAATTCAAATTGCTCGGCTCCAACCGTCAGTTGTCAGCGACTGTTCGAACTGCGAAGACGTTCAAATCGGGAAAACATAAACCAATCCATTACAATATTCAACATAAATTTAAAGTGTTTCAAATATTTACAACAAAAATAAAGATTAAAGCTAACGAATTCCGAAATTAAATGATATAAATAAATTATTTATATTTTTGTGATATAAATAATATTTTAATGATCTGCAAAATGTGCAGCGTAGCGTCCAGCTGATGTTATATAATCGCTGTGAGGATTTCAAAATCTATAGAGTGCATTAATTGCCAATCTGTGCCAGTTTTTAACCACGCAAGAAGTAAATTAAATAGAAGCGTATTTATTTTACAAAATAAGTTTGAAAATTCATTTTCAACACATTTTTATAGAACTCTAATATGTAAATTTAAAAACTTTTTCGTTCTTTATTCAATATTTTATTTTGTAATTCCACAAACTCATTTAAACCATATTTGAAACCATATTCTACTTTGACGAATAATAACAAATTATAAAATCAGATGGAAAAAATTTTTAACCATATTTTTATCTTAAAGAGTATGATTTAATAAAAAAAAATGGAATATATAGAATGAATAAATTGCTAAATATTTTTTCAAAAGATTTTATGTATACATATATATTTTTTTTTATATATACGAGTATATCCTATATTTGAATAAGCATAAAAGGTCGCAGTAAAAATTTATTTTGTAAATTTCTCGCCAATTTTTTCCATCTTTCAATGAAAAAAAAAAAAAATTATTAATAAAAATATTTGAAAACAATTGTAGAATTTCTTAACATTATGTATTATATATTAAGCTATCATCTTTCATAATCAAACATGAACACATACATTCTCACAAAAAACGGATATTCAAATATTCGAATTATACCCAAATCTATAAATTTCTTTTGAGCGCGTTCATCAATCAGTTTAATTAAAAGTGAAATTAAATCAGGCATGTTGGCCTAATAAGGCATGAGGAATAACTGCGCCAGCCAATGACGTATTGTAGACGAGTACTACATACATACGTAACTACCTACATAGCTATGTATACATACATATATACATCCATCTACCATGCGAATTGTCCTTGTCTATTGCATCCGTTGCCTTTGCTGCCTCCACAAGCCGTCGCCGTGTCGCGCTCAATGGGGCACATTTTGTGCGGCATCGGCATTGCACAAAAGGCGCACGGACCACTTAAAGCTGCAGCGACCCTCTGCCTCCGATCCTGCTCTTGCTGCTTTCAATCCGCCCACGCGGTCGCTTCGAGTGGCTTTAATTGTGAATTAAGTCGGTATTGTGGCCTCCATGTGTAGACAGAGTGGGTCAGAGAGAACGTGCGAGAGATAGACAGAAAGAGAGAGAGAGAGAGAGAGAGAGATAGAGAGAGAGAGTGAAAGAGAAAGATAGTGAAAGGAGGGGAACGGGGCAAGTAGGGTTGCCAATGCCGAGGCTATTGTGCAGGAAGTGCGCTAACTGTCCCCGCCATTGTTCTAACCATTTACATTTTATTTACACCGTTAAGCAGCATAATTGTTGCTATTTTCGTCAATTGACACAACTCTCGATGCATTGTCAATGCCAGTGACACCGTTCGAGAGTTTTGCTGTGATCCAGCAGCAAGGCTGTGTCACGGTCGCATATCAATCAAGACATCGGTTTAAATTCTCAACGTGTATCCTTTTGCATCACCTTTGCAGAGTGAGTCCTTCTGCTAACAGTCATGGTCGCGCAAATAATACTGCTCGTCATTTGCTGCATTTGCCTCAAGCACTATGCAAAGGGAGAATTTCAGTGAGTATAGCCACAGCAGCCTATCTACAATTTACCCTTGTTATAACTCACACACCCCATAGACAAAGTCTGGCCATAACCGATATCTTGCCCGAGGATATCAAGCGCTATGATAAAATGCGTCCACCCAAGAAGGAGGGGCAACCAACAATTGTGTATTTTCATGTTACCGTCATGGGTCTGGACTCCATCGATGAGAACTCAATGACGTATGTTGCCGATGTGTTCTTTGCCCAGACCTGGAAGGATCATCGTTTGCGTCTGCCCGAGAACATGACGCAAGAGTATCGGCTGCTTGAAGTGGATTGGCTTAAGAACATGTGGCGACCCGACTCCTTCTTCAAGAATGCCAAATCGGTTACCTTCCAAACGATGACCATACCCAATCACTACATGTGGCTCTACAAGGATAAGACCATACTCTATATGGTCAAGTTAACGCTGAAGCTATCCTGCATTATGAACTTTGCCATCTATCCACACGACACACAGGAGTGCAAGCTACAAATGGAGAGCTGTAAGTCTGCAACTTAATGATTCACTCAAAAAATAATTCAAGTAGAGCAGAACATATTCAAATAATGTTTTCATACAAAAATAAATGTGATCCTGGATGGATTATCAATCCATTAGTGATTCCCTACTCAAATTGTGCCTGCACTTAAATAAAAGTCCGCTCATAATCCGCCTACTATTTTCCTAGTATCGCACACCACTGATGATCTGATCTTCCAATGGGACCCAACCACACCGCTGGTGGTGGATGAGAACATTGAGTTGCCACAAGTGGCGCTCATACGCAACGAAACCGCTGACTGCACCCAAGTCTACTCGACGGGGAATTTCACCTGCCTGGAGGTAGTTTTCACGTTGAAGCGTCGCTTGGTCTACTATGTATTCAATACATATATACCCACCTGCATGATTGTGATCATGTCGTGGGTTTCGTTCTGGATTAAACCGGAGGCGGCACCAGCGCGTGTTACTCTGGGCGTGACGTCACTGCTAACGCTATCCACACAGCACGCGAAGTCGCAGTCATCCTTGCCGCCCGTTTCCTATCTGAAGGCAGTGGACGCATTCATGTCCGTCTGCACGGTGTTTGTGTTCATGGCTCTGATGGAGTACTGCCTGATAAACATTGTGCTCAGCGATACGCCCATACCTAAGCCCATGGCTTATCCACCCAAGCCAGTGGCTGGCGATGGCGCCAAGAAAGAGGCGGAGGCAGCACCACCTGGTGGCAGCAATGCAGCGGCTAATAAACAGCCCACAATGTTGCCCCTGGCCGATGAGAAAATTGAAAAAATTGAGAAGATATTCGACGAGATGACCAAAAATAAGCGAGTAAGTTGAAATATATTGATAAATATATATAAATACATTTTAAAGTGATAGCTTGTTAATTAATTATTTGCAGTCATAATCAAATATAGATTAATTTATTTTATAATTTAATTAGACACTGAAATTTAATTAAAATTAAAAATCAATTAATAAACTTTTAAAATAACTACAAAAGTTACTTTTTTTCATTTGATTTATATTTTTATTATTTTCATTATTTAATCAAGCATGTTTGACACACTTAATTATTATTATTACTTTTAACTGTGCTTTTAAATTTGATTGTGTTTTTATTGTATGTCCAAATCTTGTTTTGTAAGTTCCTATTTACGAGCGATTACGGTATTATTCAATGTTTATGTAAAATTAAGCTCTTAAGGGTAAGCCGTAGCTTTCTCTCAGTGCACTCAGCTTTCTCTCAGTGCACTCAGCTCTGCATAAAAAAACACATCTTTGATTATATGAATCATTTATTGACTTAGATTGTGACTACTACTCGTCGCGTGGTGCGTCCGCCGCTGGACGCCGATGGGCCTTGGATTCCGCGTCAGGAATCGCACATTATACTGACACCAACCATACGGCCACCACCACCGCCACCGCCAGCACCGGAGCCGGAGATGCCCAAGCCGAAGTTAACGCCCGCCCAGGAGAGACTTAAGCGCGCCATCTACATTGATCGAGCATCTCGGGTGCTTTTTCCCGCACTCTTTGCCAGCCTCAATGGCATCTATTGGATTGTGTTCTACGAGTATCTGTAAGATATGCGAGTCTGGCGCCGGCTCGGTTGTAAATATGGCTATCCAGCTCGCCCTCACTGAACCTAAATTTCTCTGCAAGTCGTACAACTTTATTAAATGTTAATTGTTCACAAACAAGTATTTAATCTTAAGCTTTCGCGCACAAGCTTTAAGTCAACCAATTTTAAACTGAATGAGCTAAATAGCATATATATATAATACTCTCTATATATATCACTTATTGATAAAGTATATATATACATACATATATAAATGATATAGTATATGAATTCAATTCCTAAATGCTTAATGTTTAAAAAAAATTCCAATAACATTGTAGTTGTAGATTAATTCTTAAAAATGCTTTTAATTGTACATAATTCAAGTAAATAAATAAAAAAAAAATAATAATATAATAATTTGAAACTGTCCTCAAAGCACTTTGGCGTTTGAAAAATAACGACTTTTGAAATCGTTTGTGTGTAAGCAGCTGTTAGAAAGCTTTCAAAGGTTTGTAAAGTAATAAAAGCACATGCGCATTGCTAAAAGCTTAAAGTTCACTGTTAGGCGCGTAATTTAAATTAAAGCAAACGACTCATAAATTTAAATAAAATTTCTTTGTACATACCTTCCTATATTTCCATACAATTTGTACACTTGCATATATATTTTATACATTATAATTTACACATTTTCTCAGCCATTAAGGCAAGACTAGCTAGCATTTTTGTTGCTACATGTTACATGTTGTTATTAGAGTGCTGTTGTTGCTTTCCTTTTAAAGGTGTCAACAGTTGGCAAACAATAGTGGGCATAAAAAGAAAAAAGTTTTCTAACTTTTGCAGTTGTTAAACAACTTGGGGCTCAGGTTCGCATGAATACCCAATTAATTATGTTGCTCACACGCTCCACACTTTTGCTTTTCACGGTCGTTAGTGACGCGGGCAAGTTCCAACAAATGAGATGCAGAAAACTAGAGCCAGAGGCTAGGGGTTACTGTATTATATTCATTCAAGAGCTTAGCGCTTGAAACATAAATAAAATGCTGAAGTTCTTAACAAACCAGTTTGTGCCCTAAATCTTTTGATCGTAGTGATCCATATTTAATCAAAGAAGTACTTGAGAGATTATTTTTTACCATGCTAGAAAATATAGAATCATACATCATAAAAAATGTATATGCAAATGTCCAGGGAATTTGTGTCATAGTCTTATATACTATAACATTTGTATACTGTGATAGCGATGGAAAGAGTTGCTTGCGTGGTTTTTAAAAATCTGAGCCCTTTTGTCAAAATTGTGGCTGTGTCGCTACACACGTGTTTCCAACTTTAAATATAGTATTAATATAGAGGTAAAACTGTGCTGTGGAAAGTTTTGCCCTTTCCCTAAATCTCTTATTGAGAGTATAATTTTGACATGAATTTTGAGCCAGAATCGCGTTTCCACCTTGAAATGGAGACATGAGTGTAAGCCATGATCAAAATGTCATAGGTTTTGAAAATCTTATCACTTTTGACAATGTTATATCTGTGGAAACATTTGACTCATCATACAAGCACATTGTGAACTAGAGTATCCAAATAATTTGATTAATTTAATTTAAGTATCAATGGTCGAGGCATGCCAACCTACTGCGGCCTACTTCCTACCTGATACCAGCTATCAGAGTATTGCGCAGTCGGCTAGACCCGACACATGTTAAAATATTGATAAACAATTATTTGCTTGTAACCTTGAATATAATAGATTTAAACACAAATCCCTCAAGGACTTCTGTAGAAAACAATCGTAAGTTTAACATTTGGGTTTTCCACATCTTAACACGCTCGCAACTCTATTGAACTCTAGTGAATAATATTTTAAAATATATGCTTAAAACTTCGTCTTCACAAAAAAACATCTTCACAATCAATTCGCATTTTAAGTAGGCCAAAATCGGTTGTGGGGGAAACCGCATGAATCACCTAAAGCAACACTGAGAGTTCCCTCAATAGTCTATTGCAACACAGTAATTTCCAGCTACAACTACAAAAATAAACAAAAAACCAGCGAAGGTTACGCAAAAAATTTTGGCTGAAAATGCTGGGGATTACCTGAGCACGGAGCCTAAGTACGCTGATGGATAGGTGGGCGTGTGGCCATAATGTTTACACGGCCTAAACGAGGTGCGGGTTCATTGGGGTTTGCGTTGAAGGTGCACAGAATGAGAAATAGTCGAAACAGCTGGAGGCAGCTATTTGTTTTTTTTTTTGGTCGAAAACCTTTACAGATAATTACAGAATCCAAGCTCAGCATGTTCGACGAAGCAATCCATTAATGCAAAAGGCGCAAAGCTGAAAGAAAGTAAAAACCCAGTACGTATCTTTGCTACCTTCGTGGTCTTAAGTCCACACTCTTTGTACAAAAGCCAAACGAAGAAAGATCTCCGCTCACCCGACCGCAACTCAAAGCCCCTCAAAGCTGTCTTCCACTGTGAGTGAGACGCCAAGCGGTTTTATTGTGTTGCTGCTGCTGCTTTTGTTGTTGTCGTTGTTCATGTTGTTATAGTGGTTGGTGTTGCTATAGTTGTTGTAGTGTCTGCTTTATCGTTTTGTCTCTGGTCGTTTCAGTTTCAATTTTAGTCGAACTCGGGCAGCAACGGCACACGGAAGCAGCCGCGGCGCAGGCGCAACACTAAAAGCAGTAACAAACCGTTTACAATTTAAGTGAAAAATCAACAACTAAAGTGTTTTCATGGTTTTAAAGTGAAATTTAAGTTGATAATTTTTACGCAATTCTTGCGCAATTTGCAAAAGTAAATAAACATTTTGCAAAGTAAATAATTATTACAACAGTTGAGCAGTTCATATACATAATATAATCATAATATTAAAAGTATTTCTGAACAAGAAAAAAATTATTTGTATACCGCGGCATTTAACACTTTCATTTTCAATCGCTCGCTGCATGTCGTTTCGTTAAGCTCGTCCAAGTTGTCGGTTTCGTTGAGTCGTGTTAAATAACAATAAACAAACACAAACAAAAAGCAAACAAATTAACGAAATAACAAACCACGAAAGTTAAAAACCAAATTATATATACACCACAGTTTAATTTTATTGCAAATGAAATAAAAGTTTTTTCGGATTTGGTGTGATACAAAAACAAAAATGCATTTGAATGCATATTTGTTGTGCCTAGGTGGGTATTCGAAAATTCACGAAACAATATATTTTGTAATAATTATAAGTGTTTTTCTGTGCTAATGTGTTGTGGTTGCTCTCAAAAATCATTTTGTTGTTTTTATCTATGTTTAAAAACAAAAGACTTAGGCAACGAACTTGAATTTAGGAATGGGTGCGAAGTGGCCAACCAATTGAGTTCAGACAGCTCTATAAATAAACGCAGTGCGGCTTAACAACACGGTTTCAACACTTAAATTGAGCTACATTTCGTTGAGGAAAGACAAAAAAGAGATCAAGTTTTTAGTTACTTTTATTTATCTTCAATCTTATTTCATTTTATTGTAAAAGTGAAACCCTAAGCTCAAGTTCAAGCTGAAACGCTTTGTTATCTCTCTCTCCTTTTCAAATTAATGACCAAAAAAAACCATAATGCGCATCCGAATCAAACAAAAAAAAAATGAAGAAAAAAACGTGACTAAGTCTGCAACTTTCTTTGGCAGCAACCGCTGCAAAATCTTCCGCCAAGTGACGTCACATCACAAAACCAGTTGCCCGAAATGCAAATTGCGCACTCAGGCGTCCAAGGCCAATCAAATTGTCGCTAGCAGCTGTCCAGCTACTGCACAAAACTCGTAGATACAAAACCCATCTATATCGGATACTACAGCGACACGTTTTGTAGCGCCTGTAAGTGTCTATTGGTATTACCGCAACACGTCGGCCTATCCATACACATTATGCAACTACTACAAAAAATGTTGCGCTGTCATCGCTTGCTGCACAGAGCCAAACTCTGGCGAATTGTTGTTAGTGTCCGCGATATCCACAATTTAATGTTATATTTATCCATTGCTTCGGAAGTTATTGCAGCTGTTTTGTCTTTTATTGTCCGCGCCGCAGCGTGACCGTTGCTCAATTGCAAATATTTTTCCAGCAACGCTGACAATTTATTTTCCCCAGCCGGTTAGCCGGGATTTTCACTTTCGTTGGCATCAAAGCAATATAATAATAGAAACAGCTGCTTGATTGCTTACTTGCATTTGTTTGCGGGGATTTTCTTTTGGAATTCAGTTTGTTTGAATATTAACGCGCTGGAAAATCAATTTTTGATAATTTTCATAAGAAAAAGTGTAGTTTTGATTGTAAATAATAATTGACAGCACTTATTGGCTTTCATAATTTTTTTAAGTTATGACTTGGAAATTAAATGTATTTAGCTGAAGCCTGATGTATTTACTTCTGAATACGTTGAGAAATAAATTATATGTAAATTTTTAAAGAAAGTACAATTTTGTGGCTTAAATGAGCTTCTTGAATATTATAAAAATATTATAATAATTTCCTAGAAAAAAGGTGCATGCTGAAGAATATAAGATATGATTTAAGAATATATTTAAATTATGAATATAATTGTTAGTGCCATTAAATTAATAAGCCAATAAAAATTACAACCTGTCTATAAGTAACCAATGAAAAACTCAGCATTTTACTTGATTTCTTTAGAATAAGATTGAAGAGGACAAGTTTGAATATTTAATTGAATATCAGTCAAAACCCTATTTAACGTTTTCTTATTAATAAAGCAATTTAAACTACAATATTTCTATAAATATTTGTTAAAAAAAAGTCAGTGTTTTAACTTATGCATAGCTCCGTTGCGTTGAATAATGCCACAAATTGGCATTACGCATCTGTAGTACTACAACCAAAAATGAGAAAGTATGTCGCTGGTGCGTCTCTCTCTTACTGTCTCTCGCTCTATCTCGCTCTATCGCTCTGCCGATCTTCGGCAATACTGTCCATGCATATCCGCATGTAGCTCTTCAACTGAAGCGTTTAATGTTTATTTACTTTGTTGTGACATAATCGCAGTTCGCATTTGTTACGCGCCCTCTAGATGACTCGCGATATTTTGGCTTGTGGCTTTAATATCTCTCGAGTTATAGAGGAATATACAATAAAACTGATTCTTTATGCAGAGACAGAAGCTCAAGGTCGCCTTTAGATTTCTCCTCGCCACTAAAAATTGATTTTATCTTTGATCTCCACCCAGACGATTCGGGTTAAGCTGTTACAGTTTGACTTGAGATTTTGTTTTTATTATTTTTGTTTTTTTTGTTGTGCGCCACTCATTAACATTTTTCGAGGCGTGCACTGCAACTTTGTCACTTTCACTTGGGAATAAAATTGCTCATACCAATGGTAAAATGCTTTTTGTAGTGCTTATATATATCTCTTTTTTTTGTAGCTGCTGTTGTATTTTCTTGCCGCTGCGCCACACAATGAAATATTGGCCAATTATACGACAAGCCTTTTTGGCTCGCATATAGAAATGATTTCGTATGAAAAGTGAATGCCCCATTGGCAAATGGCACTGCTCAGCACATTTCGCATAGGCCAAAAAATGGATAATTGTTTGATGGAAAATAAAAAAAAAAATTACTATTTATATATTATTTAAAATTTAGGTTACCAACAGCAGAAAGCAGATAATTGATTTAAAAGGTGGCTGGTCTCATTGATCGAAGAACTTTTATTCAAGCAAATAGATAAGAATTCAATAAAGTCTGAGCAAATGAATTGATGAGAATATAATAAAAATAATATTACAAAAATGTTTATAAAAGTTGTATTTAATGATGCTTGAGCCCAATTAAATGCTAAGCAAATTATACTTCTTTCTATTTATAAATATAATCGAAATCTATTTAGGATTGTTTTATTAAAATTACATTTAATTTGATTGCAGTGCTTGGAGCTGGCATCTTGATGCAGACCCAAGGTTCCGCAGAGGAAGATGAACAGCCGATGCATTTGACCAACGATGGTAAGTGTTTGACTTTGCAATTGGCTAAACATGGGCATTCATAACTTTAACTATTAAGGCAGCGTCTTTCTTTCAGCCGCAATTGCACGACAAACGCCTCGGACGCCAGCTGGTCGAGGATTTGGAATATAACGCGAACTCAGCTAGCAGCATCAGCAGCGCCAGCAGCAGCAGCAATGCCAGCGAGGATGATGTGGAGGATGACAGCGAGTATTATGACAGCGATGAGGATCAAACTGAGAATGACAGCGATGGCAGCAATGAGTCCTTGCCCCGCCTGCTCTCATCCTCGACATTTCATCGCATCTCTGAGACGCTGGGGGCTCTAAATACAGTGGGTCACATGCTGGTGGACATGACACGAGGCGGCCAGGAGGCCAAGACGGAGAATGGTAGCAGTAGCAGTGCTAGTGGTGAAGGGAGCACAACCACCAGCAGCACCGCCACAGAATTAGGCGACCACACAACTGCAACTCCTCTGTTCAAATCACAATCGGTGCCTGGCATCTCGGGTAAGATACTGGACAGCACAACGCAGACACTGTCCGCAAACAGTTTGCTGCCAGCGGGAAAGCCGGCCAATTTGAGTGCCATTCAGGTGGCCACCAAGCGCATTGGCCAGGCGGAGGGGGTGGCGTCGGGCAATCCCATGTTCGTGGAGAACAAGGACGCAAAGCAGCAGAAGAAGAAGCGGAAGAAGAACAAAAACAAGCAGAAAGTGAAGAAACCCAATGAGGAACTAGGCCAAGCCACACCACAGTCATTGCAGAAAATTAAAATACCCACAACACCACGCACAACCACCGCTAGCAGCAGCAGCAGTAATGGCTTCACTAGCAGCACCACTGGCAGCTCCACAACATTGCGGCCACTTGATCAGCTGGCCTTGGCCAGCGAGGAAGCTGGCACCGCCAAGGATGCGGAGAACTATTGCAAGACACCTAGCGGTCGTCCGGGACGTTGCGAGGATCTCAGCAGCTGTCCTGCTCTGCTCCTGAATTTAAGCAGCCTGCGAGAGTCGCTCTGCTTTAAGAGTCTCTTTGTGCCGGGCGTGTGTTGTCCCTTGTCCGCTGGCGCCTCGGAGAGTTCCACAGTGCTGACCACCCAGCGTCCACTGAAGCTTACCGCTAGGCCACAGACCAGCAGCACCACCTTGGCCACAACAAAACGACCCGCCACACTGCGACCCACAGCCAGACCCAGCTCCAGACCCACTTCCGGTCTGGTGCTCATACCACAGAAGAAACCACCGACAACAACAACGACAACCACAACTGAGGAGCCACTGGAGCCAGAGGATCTGGATGAGATTGCCAATAACATTGTCGATCCGGATGAGTGCGGTCAGCAGGAGTATTCAACGGGTCGCATTGTCGGCGGCGTCGAGGCGCCCAACGGACAGTGGCCCTGGATGGCAGCCATCTTCCTGCACGGTCCAAAGCGTACGGAGTTCTGGTGCGGTGGCTCGCTAATTGGCACCAAGTACATTCTGACAGCGGCGCATTGCACCAGGGATTCCAGACAAAAGCCGTAAGTTAATAATGCCTCAAATTGCTGCAATATCTTTGAAACGTTATTAAAGTACTTAACGAAAGTAAAATATATTTGTCCTTTGGAAAAAATAATTAAAATTGGAAAACATAGCTTTAATTGAGTTCAAAACTATTAATTTCTGACTTGCAAGCTTGATGAATACCCAGAAATTTAACACATTCACAAAAACCCAAAAGTTTTCCGTTTTAATTGTCAAAATGCGAAAACTGAAAAGTGAGCTACTATTAAAGAAAGTAAAATGAATAACCAAGATATTTGTTAAAAACGGAAACGGAAAAGTTTAGCAGATAGTTCGTTGTTTTATCTGTCATTTTTATAGAGGGTGCTTCAGTCATGATATGTGTAATTAAATCAATATTATTATTTGCAGATTCGCTGCCCGACAGTTTACGGTGCGTCTGGGCGACATAGATCTTTCCACGGATGCTGAACCCTCCGATCCTGTCACTTTTGCCGTCAAGGAGGTGCGCACCCACGAACGGTGAGTGAGAATTCTCTGCTCGTCAACTCAACGGTTCAGTTAGCTAATTCATATATATTTCGCATGCAGGTTCTCTCGGATTGGCTTCTATAATGACATAGCGATTCTCGTGCTGGATAAGCCTGTGCGCAAGTCCAAGTATGTGATACCCGTTTGCCTGCCTCGAGGGGCACGTATGCCGCCCAAGGAGCGTTTGCCCGGCCGACGCGCCACTGTGGTTGGCTGGGGCACCACCTACTATGGCGGCAAGGAGTCCACTAGCCAGCGGCAGGCCGAGCTGCCCATCTGGCGCAACGAGGACTGCGATCGCAGCTATTTCCAACCCATCAACGAGAACTTCCTTTGTGCCGGCTACTCCGATGGCGGAGTCGATGCGTGTCAGGTGAGTGCGAATATAGTCTCATATAGATTGACAAATTTAACAGCATCATCTCTGGCTTGCAGGGCGACTCTGGTGGTCCTTTAATGATGCGCTACGACTCGCATTGGGTGCAATTGGGCGTCGTGTCCTTTGGCAACAAGTGCGGCGAGCCCGGCTATCCGGGCGTTTACACACGTGTCACGCAGTACCTCGACTGGATACGTGATCACACAAAGGATTAGGCGACTTAGTTGTAACTGTAGCTAGGCTTATGTACCCGCTAGTCTATGTACGTTTAATGCTCTCTTCCTGTTGCTACTACTACCACATATTATACAACTACTGATATTTATGAGTCCCCATAACTCAATTGCTATCCAATTGTTTACCATATTATGCGTAGTTGCGAACAGCATTTGTTATTTAAATTATTTAGACCTAAACGATAAATAAATAATATCTGAGTAAAACTGTAAATGCCTCTGTTAATTGATAGTTATCAATATTTAATCCAATTTTGCATACTTGGGTTGAAGAGTATCCAAGATTGGATATATAGTTAAATTTGGGAGGTCTTCGCATTTATTATTTTAGTATTTCAGATATAAAATAGAAAAACCTGATAATTCATATTTCGAATAAGCCTTTGCAATCCTGCTTAGATGTTTAGTTTAAATAAATAAATAGAGCAAAAATATACAAAAAATCGAGGCTAATAGAAATTAAAAGAAAATTATGGATGAGATTAGAAATGTGTATTGCTAACCTGTGAATTCCCTGATAGAAATAGACTCTCACGATGTAATATGACATGACTAAAATATTACATATATATTTTTTGCGCTCTTTCGATTTGTGTTAAGTTTCGATTGTGAGCAGTGAATCTACAAAGGGGAAGTATTTCGTATTCCTCATATAAATAAACATTCGCTGGAAATGGGTAAGCGATGGAGCGGGAGAAGGGGGAAACAGAGCAACCAGATATTCGAACCCAGTTCAACAAGCAACGCGGCAAATTGCACTTTTAGTTCTCGTTAAGTTCTCAGGGCTTTCGAACGCTTCAGTTTTGTTTTGTCGATTGCCGGCAACGCGCGCGCTTTTTTCCACTCTCTTCGTTTAACAATGAACTCAACTGTTGAACACAATCGATTAGTTTATGGGGAACTTTAATTAACATTGGCAATCAGCATTAGGATTAGCAATCATCGGAAACTAATAACATTTTATGTTTTTATAACACTGATAAGCATTTTTGTGTTGTGACTCAACAAAAGTTTGCGCTTCTTGTTTATATAAAGCTTTCAGTGCTTGAAACGCGTGGTAAGTTCAGTACTCAAATTTGGCTAAAGCTCTCTCTCATGCGTTCGTAACGGCAGAGAGACAGTGAGAGCGGGCGTAAGCGTGTGTGTGAGAGAGTGTAAAGGGTTGCGTCAACAAAAGGGCATAGGTAGGTCAAATAAATGGAAGTACAAAATTTGATTTTATTGTTGCTTAAAGCTTATAATTTACATAAAATATCCCAGACGAGAGAAGTATATGCTCATAATCGCCTGTGCTAAAATATATAATCACGACTTGTAGCTTTAAACTTTGTATGTCGTTATGCTAAATGCTATGCAACACAAAAGCTTCAAAAAGCTCTATGCTAAGCTTAATATGCTGTTTTTTGGGCGTTTTCAATGCGATTTTTGTAGCGATTTTGATTAATGAGCAGTTATTTTTGAACATTGTTTTCCTTTCTTGTATTTTAGTTAACTAAACCAAAGAACGGTAACACCGTATGTGTACTCTGAATTTGAGATGATTTTTTTTTAAATCATATCACAAAATATGAATGACATACATTAAATATGGCATAATATTTAAGTTATGCGGGATCAAATGCTTAAAATAAAAAGAAATTAAAGTAAAAACAAAAAAGAAGACCTGTTCCCGCCCGGGTTCGAACCGGGGACCTTGTGCGTGTGAAGCACACGTGATAACCGCTACACTACGGAAACTCTTGCAACGAGTGAGGCCTAAGGCTGTTTAAGAAGCACAGCTCTCTTGATTTCTCTTTTTTTTTTAAATTTCTGATCCGAGAATTGTAATAATAAACAACACATATTACATTATGTGGACGGTTGTCATACATATAAAAAAATCATTAAATTATTAAGAAATCAGAGCAAAAAGTAAAGTAAGCAAAATTTAAAGCTGTATGGTATGATTTTATAAAGACAAGGCATTTATTTATGGCTAAATAGTATATACATTCCAGGGTGTGTATTGTTTTTTTAAATTTACATTTAAATAATTGTTTTTTTTTTTATATTTTAAATACAAATTAATGAAAAAAAAGTTTGTTCCCGCCCGGGTTCGAACCGGGGACCTTGTGCGTGTGAAGCACACGTGATAACCGCTACACTACGGAAACATCTGTCATTTGCTCGGCCCAATATGACCCAATAATGCTGCCCACCACTTATTGAAAGGGGGCCTCGGGACAATTACTTTCTTGGTCCACAGCGGAACTATGAATTGCGCTAGAGTTTGACAAACTCGTGCCACGCCCAGTGTTAATTGGCGTCTTGCCAGGCCGCCCACTTTCACTGGCAGTTGAATTGGCAGAGAGGGCACACAAGGCATTCAAAGCATTTGGCTGGAGTTGAGAAATGTCTGAAACATGCACACAGATTACCAATTCATGTATCCCCCCTCAACACCTCAACCATTCAACCCCTCGGTTACCTTTAAATAAATTTGCTCACGCTGATCCTTAATTAAAATTCCCATTGTCTATGCTGGCCTGCATAGATTTTTACCTTCCCCCTTCCTTCAGCGGCAACAACATATCTCTGGCCCTGGCACACAATTAATATGCAGGCCAAGAACGCTTTCTAACTGCTCGCACTCGTTATAATTACGCATTTAAATTGGCACAAGGGCTGAGACCGGTGAAGAAGCCTGACTCCTGGCCAGGGATATGGCCAGCTTTGGTTGTGAATGTTGAGTTAGCCCTATCTGCTGGCGATTTTACTCTAGCCCAGGGCATTTTTATTTTGTCAAGAATTGTGACGGTTCATTGGATTTCATTGTCTTCTCTTTAAAGTATATTTTGGTTTTCCAACTAATAATTCTTAGACTATTAATAAACATTTTCTTGCTAGTTTTGAATTTTATTATTAAGCTCATTCATTTGCCTAAAAAATTAGTAGATCAATTTTAAATATGTTTTTCCTGTTTGAAAGAGTATATATATATAAAAAAAAGGGCTTGACTTATAACCATTGAAGACTTAAATGTTAAAAAGAGCTCACCAAACAATAAATAGTTAATAAAATTATATTTCTTGTTCGATTTTCAATAATTAACTACAAGTAAAAAACAGTTAATTTATAATGCGAATTTAAGTTGAAAAAGTTTCGACGTAGCAAATGAAAATAAAATATTTGCTATAAACGTCATTAGTTTGACATTCTATTATTAACATAAGGATATAGATTATATATATGAGAATCGTCAGAAAATCGACGTAGTCTAGCTAAGATCTGAAATATATTTAGTTTGTGACATTCAGCGTATTTAATCTTCGACCGACGAAAGATAAATCTTATTTCTAGTTGTTGTTGTTATTGTTGCTGTGTTTGCTATTGTGGTTGTCTGTGTGGCATGGCCCCATAAATTTGGGTCAATGGGAAAAACGTCAGAATTGAGTAATTACAACATAATTTTCAATTTTGCAGTTTACGTTGTAAATTAATTTGCGGTCGACATTTGCAAAGCGCGCCGCGTTCATTGTGTATTGTGTATGTGTGTGTGGCACGGCATTTCGGCAACGCCTAGCCAGCAGCAGCAGCAGCAGCAACAGCAGCAGCAGCAACAGCCGCTTGCAGCCCACAGCAGCATGCCCCCCTGCAGCAGACTCGACTCGACTCGAGTCTCGAGTCTGTGCTGATGAAGCGCACAATCGTGACTGGGCGCGGCTGTGGAGCTTGTGCGGGGTCACAACAATTATAGCAACAATTAAGGGGCAGCTGGGCAGCTCATTGTTGGATTTGTGTATGGTGGAGGCGAGGTGGTCGGGTGCCGTGGTTTGGCATACAGCGGGGTTTTTGTTGGCGACGCCGTTTGTTGTGCATAATTAATTTGCAGTTATTTTGCACGTTCGTGCTTACGATTTTGTTCCTCTCTTTTTTTTTTGCTGCTGGTGCTTAGCGGGGTTTTGGGGTGTTTGGGGTACTATTTGAGGTCGGGCAAAAAGTGTTTACGATTTTACAGTTGAGCGCATTTTAATTGAAAGAACTAAAAGACAAGCCAGTGTCAACGACACATGCGTCGAGTAAGTAAGGGGCAACATGTGGAGTGCCAAAGAAAGATGGAAAGGAGCAATGGGGTGGGGGTTGTGTGTGAAGGCATGTGGCAGGGGCAGCGGCAGTGGCAGCGACTGGGTCTGTTGTCAACAGCTGGAATCATGTGGGGTGGTTTATGTAGAATGCAATAAAAAATTGACCCGAAAATGTGTAACAAATGCTGTGACATATTTTTGCCAAACGCCCAATGCCTCACCCCGCTGCCGCAAGCCCAACGAGCCCCACAGGCCCCACAAGCCCCAACTTTCCCCAGGCCGCCCAAACCAATACGCCGTTAAGTTACCCGCTGCCAATGATCCTGAAAAGGAAACGGCACCAAAGCGAGTCGCAAAAGGGTGTTTCAAATGGGTGCTGCGTAGTTGGCCAAAAGGCGTCCTGGTTGCGAGGGGTCTGCTGGGGGTGTGGGTGGCTGGTTGTGGGCGTGTGTGTATAGTGAAAATCGGTTGCGGGCAACATTTGTTTTGGGCTACAGCACAGCAAATGTGCAAAAATGAATATGGCACAAAAATATAAACAAAAAAAAAAAAACACAAAATAACAAGCAAACAAAACACAAAAAAATAAAAGAGAGAATAAAAAAAAACAAAGTAAGGCAAATGGCAAAAATCTGTAACTGTAACTGCAACATGGCATGAACTTAATCTGCTGCCGATTGTTTTTGCTGTTGTCGTTGATGTTGATTTTGTTGTTGCTGTTGTTGCTGTTGTTGTTGCTAAGGGTTTGTTGCTCAATTTGTAGCCCATGCATGGCAGCAGCTACTTTGGCAGAGGGAGAGTCGTAGCAGAAGATGGAGCAGCAACCGAAGCAGCAGCAACGCCAATCCAAACCAAATACCGCCGCTTTTTCAATATTGCGGCAACAATTTTCATCGTTGTTTGTATTTGCCAGCGTTGTAATAATGAAAGCAACGATTGGGGCGTGTTACAATCCCTACCAGCCCCCCCGCACCCCCTCCACCCGCTCATTGTATGGGTTTCGGGTTGCGGCATTACGCCGTTGCAAATGGCGGTTAACGGCTTTTTGGGGGCAGGCGTCGGGCGTTTTGTGTGGAGGTCAGCTCTCCCGGTTCGGGGTGTTCATTTAATTGAAAACAGCGAGGCAGCACTTAAACTGAAACCGAAAACAGATGGAAACGAAAAACTTGCAATAATTGCTGAGAAGGCGCTTAAATCGACTTGGGATCCCAAAGTTCCAAGTTTGCAGCAGCTAAAGTTCAACCCGTCCTCAAGTGTGCAGCTAATGAATTCTTCATAGAGTTAAATACGAAAGTTATTGGCCAACTCTCTCAATTAACAGCACATTAAAACATGCAACCGAAATGAAGAGAATATCAGGCCGTAAACAACATTTACGCAAATCCACTCGGATCGAACATTATATTGGACGGGTAGATAAACTGAATTAATTATTAAGCAAGCATCTTTTGCTTGGTAATCATTTTTTAATAACATTTTTATAGACAAAATTGTGAGGAAGTACCCAATTTCCGGGTTATATAGATACAATAAAAACATTTTAAGCCAAATATTTAGAGGTCATCTTATTTTATATCTTTCAAGTTGAAGAATTCAATGGATGAAATATGATTCTTATTAAAAATATATAGATATAATAATATGAATATTTCAGAATCAGTTTTTTAATGTGTTAGATCCCTTTCAACATAAATCAAACACATTTGTGGGAAAATAATCGAAAATATTCCATGTCAAATATTTACCATCAAATGTATTTGATATCTTTTTAAATTTGAGTATTTTAATGGGTAAAATATATGGATATATATACAAAAATTAATATGAAATGTAGCATTGGTTTTAAATGTTTTCCAACTATTAAAGGTTTCATTTTTTATTAGATTTACAAAATATCAATGATATGTATTTCATCATTAGTTTTCTAATGTATTCCTTTTAAATATTTATTTCTCTATCAGAAATTGTGGTAAATCAACAGTTAAACTGAGAA